TACATACACGCAACAAGGGATAAATCATGATCATAATCATCCTAAAATACATTCATCATAAATCATAAGATACAGCACTTAGTGACAGTCAAAGGATACTAAATAAGTAATCAACATAAATCATACTAGGATACTAAATAAAATAATTAATATAAATCGTAAGATACAAGCAACAAAGTTATAGTCATAAGAGGATAAGGAAATAGATAATAGGAAAGATGAGAAGGCTAATAGTAATAGAGCCAGCCCTACTAGGTAGTTTGACAGTCTTGTGGGAATGAGTGGGTTAGTAGAGTGATGACATGGTGGGTGGGGGGGGAACTGTCTTGGTATCTAGTTGTTTTGGTGTGCAATGCCCTATAGCAGGGGTGTCCAACCTTGGCAACTTTGCTGGCTGAGGAATTCTGGGAGTTGAAGTCCACAAGTCTTAAAGTTGCCAAGGTTGGACACCCCTGCCCTATAGCATCATCTTGAGGGAAGAAGTTGAAACGGTTTATGTCCAGGATGTGAGGGGTCTGTAGAGTGTAAGAGAATGTGCCTCAAAACTATTCCATTTGCATGAACCTAAAAACATGGGAGGTTAGTTTGATTCATTTTATCCACTGTTGTGGACACCGACGGAGAGATGGTCTTCTAGTTGCTGGTCAGGATGTTACCTACTGGTGATGCTAGAACTGAACCTAACGCATGCATTGTGTGTGCTCACCACTAAGCCTAAACTAATATTCTGTCTTTCACCAGAATAGTGCGTCCTTCCAATATGTTAATGAACAACAGTTCCAAAAGGCACTGAGAGATATCGATGCTGATATTCCCCGGACTGACCGACACAGGACCTTCTTCCAGTGAGAAAATCTCCTTCTCCAGCCACAGCTAAGCCAAAACAAAAAAGCTGATTGCCAAGCCCACTTTGCAAACTCTCAATTTTCAGGCTGGGTGGCTATTTAAAAATACCCAGCCCGTCTTCTTCTGTTTTGCCAGATTCAGGAAGAAGCACATTTATAAACACCTGGTGAACTGAATGACTGACAGGGTTTCATTCTGACAGGGCTTGACAGATCAAAATTTGTGCAGGGCTAAGTGGAAATATCTACCAAACCCGATTTGATTAAAATATGGGCATATCAGAAACCCAAAAGCATTTTCTTGAGGAATATTTGCATTTTTACTACAAACTGATTTGATTACTCATCCCTCTCAGAAAATGCAGAATCTTTTTACTGTGCTTTTATTTGCTAAAATTTACCCTGCATTCTACTTTGGAGAAAACAAAATTACTCAAAAGTGAACTCTTGCAGCCAAGACAGATTCGGTGTATAGGTGATCTAAAGTCTGACCATGTTTTTGTAAATTAAAAGCAGTTATAGTGCGATCCAGACTTGCTTGTGGCAGGGTATCCAGACAAACAGATGCTTAACTTTCCTATTCCTATACCTCCTAATATAGTTACTAGCTTTCTGGATAGAGGCCACTTAAAGGAGTTAAACATCCCTGCCTTAAACACTGCTCTAATCCAATTGGTTTTCTCCATTTCCAAAGCGCTTTATTGCTTCTTTAGGGACAGCCTCAGTTTATCCGTGCCAAGAACCACCACAACAAAACAGGGACAACCTTGAAGTTGCTAAGTTACCTTCTGGCAGCAGATTGAGCAAACTTTGATTTATATTTCTACTTAGATTCTAAATATTATTTATACATGAATGCAGAAACACACATGTCACTGTATAATCTGCAAACTCTGTGCAAACCCATGTTTTCTCTTATTTGGAGATGAATGATCTGTCTCTGCCACTGTAGCTAGCACCTGTGACTTTCCTCTCTCTCTTTACAGACGTGAAGGGCTAGTGAAGCTGCTTTACCTCCGGGATATTCTCATCACGTTTGCAGCCTTTCACCAAGGTGAGGAAACCACTACACTATGTACTTCCAGGAATTGCAGCTGACAATATGAGTCTGCGGCCTATTTTTTTCCCTAGCCTCTCCATTTCCCCCACTGTCTCTATTCCTAACACTTAACAGTTCCACCGTTCATCATTTATATGGGCCTCTCAATGTGCCAAATACTTTCCAGTTCAAAGTATTTTTCAAATAGATGCAGGCAGGGCTTTTCTTAAGGAGGTCTAAGGAAGGAACAGATTTGTCCTCCAGAGGTATCTGCTGAATGTTGTGTTAAACATTCCCATATTCCACACAGAGCCTGGTAGATGTTGCATAATGCAGATGTGCAAAACCCTCTCTCTGGCTCTCCTCACGCAGGGCTGGCTCCATTATTGGGCAGAGTGTGCCAGCTGCCTTAGGCCAAACATGCTTATAGAGTAAGCAGGCAGGGCAATTTATGCATGCTTTCTAAGATATAGTAGCTATTGCTCTCAGGTGCTGGAAGGACACCAATCTGATCAGCTAATCAGTTAATGTACTGATTAAATTTGGACAGGTGGGTGGGTGAGCTTCAAGCAGCAAATTGTCTTAGGCTAGCTGTGTTACCCACCCATAAACTTCTGAAGCAGTCACTTCATTTCTGTTCTTCCCTCTTAGATCAAGAGTGTCCAACCTTGGCAATTTTAAGACATGTGGACTTCAACTCCCAGAATTCCCCAGCCAGCATGGAGAAAATTCATGGCTGGCTGGGGAATTCTGGGAGTTGACGTCCACAGGTCTTAAAATTGCCAAGGTTGGGCACCCCTGCCTTAAATTATTCTTTATTCTGTGTTTCATAAAGTGCTTTGAAAGGCTGTTATATAGAAAGCAGCATAAAAATGGTGCACACGTGTCACTTTAAAAAGTTTATCGTGCCACCCAATGCCTTTTCATTCTGAAATCAGTTCTGCTAATTCAATAGGATATTTTCCAAAGAGGGCTGCATGACATTACAGTCTAGAATGTAAGATTCTACCTGCTGGGAAGGGACGCTCTTAAGGATTTTTGAAGGTTGGGGAACTTCTGTTCCACTAGCACAGCTTCAGCATTCTGGAAAAAAAAAAGAAAATTCATATCAAAGTGTTAACCATTGTGTTACAGGAGTAGAAAGCCCCATTGTTGTAAATACGGAATTGGCAAATACTGAACCATTGTCAGCTTTGGTGCTGGAATTACAGTAAATTCTTATCATTTTCGGTAGTTACATTTTATCAAATTGTCACGAATAGTAAATTAACAAATACGGAACCATTACTCCTAGGGAAATGCAACATTAGATTCCTGCAAGCGTCTGGTCCCAAGGTCTTCATCAACTGATCAATACATCACCTTGTTTTACATGTCTCTCTGTTAAAGGACACCTTATTTAATATACTTCTATTTCTTACAAATAATAGTCCTTGGGGGGGGAAAAGGTTAAACAAAGACCAAGTATTTAAAGTTTCGTTAAACAATCTTATTTATAATGGCCATTTTAACCAGTGAGATCAGAAGGCGGACATGCGCAGATAGGTCACTCAAAATTTTCACCACATTGCACATGTCCTCAAAGATCCGCAAAAGCACTTCGAGTATTGATTTGGGGGTTACAAATAAATTTAGCAAGGAGTCAAATCCTCAAATACCGAACCCACAAATAATGAGGATTGACAGCTATTTCTGGTCACTTGGAATTGCACTTCTGTGCGTGCTTTTAGCTATGAATCCAGTGAGACATATTTTTAAGAAAGCATGCAGATGACTCTGTTGCCTGCATAACAGCATTCCATAGAGGACATTTATTATTTATATCCTGCTTTTATTTTGCTGGGCAAGTAACCAAACCTCCAAAGAACCTATAATGTGCAAAAGTAATATAATTTATATAACAGCGTATAGAACCCAAACAGTCTTTGTGTGAGAAATGACAGCGTTGAACTTCTCTGTTCTCATTATTATTATTATGCAATTCAGTCTCTGAGTGCATTATTGAGCTAATCTCCCCTACCTAGTTTTGAGCAATTCAACTATACAGGAATTTAGGCCCCAAGAAAGATACATAGAATAACTTCTGAGCAATTTCCTTTATTATTCCTTGCCTGTAGATAGAAAACTTGCCAAACTAAAGCAACTGCTTGCACCATTGAAGATCTAATCCAGGGGTGTCAAACTCATGTCTCGTAGTCATGCACTGGCCATGCCCACCCCCCTTTTAGCGAAGGGGGGGAAAGGCGCGATACGTCACGTGACGACAACATGAGGCCGTGAGTTTGACACCCCTGATCTAATCAGAATTGATAGGGTGGAGTTGTCTTCATTTTCTTTCTCTCAACCAAACTATCTAAACTTCCCTGCCTCCTTGCCCTCTAAAATGCAGCCCCTCCCACCTGGGAATCCAGACTACATTCCACCACAGGAAAAGATACTCTGGAATCCAGTTCAACTTTTGGAGACTGCCTTTGTGCATATTTCATGGCTGCATGATGAAATTGGTTTGCCACCACCCTCTTCCCACCTGTTTTTCCATTTCCCAGTCTAGCCAATGACGGTGGAATTCCACAGTGGTTCCCATTCAACTGCTAACCAAAGTTGAGCCTACTTGGCTTCCCAACCCATAGAAAGTGATCTGAATCTAAATTATGAATGATTGGTGGTTGGATAGTCCTCCCCTTTCTTCCTGCTTCTGCTTTATTCTCTCCTATCCCAAAGAGATTGGATACTGCCGGGGGATGCATTACTTTGCCAGCCGTTTCTTAGAGACCCTGGACAGCGAGACAGAGGCTTTTTGGTGCTTTGTAGGATACATGCGGCGGTCTGCATGGGGCTTCACCACCATGGGTGTCCGTCGGAAGATACGTGAGTGAAGGGGAAATGGAGGGGTGCAAACAGATGCAGGCTTTGCAAAGCGGCTGTGTTGACTAGTAGCATTCTTTTTTGATGCAAACACCGCGCCTTCTCTTCAGCAAAAGCTTCAAGGGAAGAATAGGATGCTTCCTGCAAGTTTGCAGCAAAAATGGATTGTGAAAAAATAGCCATTGGCTGGTACTTTGGCTGCAACGCCACCCAGGGACCTTCCCCCACTGGAGAGTTAAAAGTGTCCTCCAACTATCCCGGAGTTGGCAGAAGATGGTAACAGTGTGAAACATGTTGTCTCTCTTGCCCTTCTCTATCCTGCCCAGTCATTGCATTCACAACCAGGGTTGTGAATGGAAATGCCTAACAGATTTCATTCACCCTGAGACTGCCCTGAGACAGTGTCAAAATTAAGGGGGAAATGCAACTTCTATATTGTAGAGCTAAGGGTAATTTAAGAAGGTCTCAATATCATGGGGACAGAAGAGACAAAGAGTGTTGTCTGCGCTGTGATTAAGTGTGTGTGGGGGGTGGGGGGGGAGCCCTAAGACTTGTCACCAGGGGTGGGATTCAAAATTTTTAACAACCGGTTCTGTGGGCGTGGCTTAGGTGGTGGGTGTGGCTTGGTGGTCATGTGACCTGGTGGACGTGGCTTGGTGGTCATGTTATTGGCTGGGCGTGGCCAACTTAATATCACTCACATCGAGGCACGCATCTCCTTGCCTGGCCTCTCATGACTGTGGGGATGCTGCAACAATGTGAAAAATGGTCATAAGTCACTTTTTTCAGTGCCGTTGTAACTTTGAATGGTCACTCCACACAAGCAAAGTACCAGCAAAGGAGAGGGAAAAAAAACCCAGAGATGTTCCTGAGACAGGAAGTCTAGTCCTGCCAAGAATGTAATAAGGTTTAACGGAGAGGCAGTTTCTATAAGCAACACCAGAATGTCTCCTTCCTGCCTTCCTTACAGGATTAAGCCAGTAATTTCTTCTAACAACCGGTTCTCCGAACTGCTTAGAATGTTAACAATCGGTTCTGCCGAATAGGTGCGAACCTGTAGAATCCCACCCCTGCTTGTCACTGCAAATCTCAAAGCAGGTTTGTTTTTTAAAGACCAAAAGCAAGCACACAAAGTAATCAACATTTATGTGTTGTGGCCCTGGGGGAAAAACATGTACAGCAGGTGTGTCAAACTCAATTTCATTGAGGGCCGCATCAGGGTTGTGTTTGACCTCGGGGAGGTCGGGGGGGCATGGCCAGAGTAGATGTGGCCAGCTTGAGGTCACTCGTGTCAGAGGCACCTGTGGTGGCTCAAGTGCTTTACCAGCGAAAACAGGCTCCCGAGCTCTGTTTTCTGCTATGATGCCCTCCTGCAGCCCTCTGCCAGCAAAAACGGAGCTTAGGTGGGCCGCACACAGCCCCCTGGGCCCCGTTTCCGGCCACGTAGCCTCCTACAGCCCCCTCCCTGAGCTCTGTTTTTGCTGGTAGGGGAACCGTGGGCCGTTCCTTCACTGTTTCCAAGGCAACTCCGTGGGCCAGATCTAAGCACCCCATGGGCTGGATTCAATCCGCAGGCCTTGAGTTTGACACCTCTGATGTAGAGCCATGTATACCAGCCAGCCCTGATAGGTTGTTACCTGTATCATCAAAGTGAGAAGAAAGACGTTTTCACAATGGGAGCAACAAAACAAAACAAAAAAAAAACCCCTGCTCTAGCATTGTTTTAATTATAGCTGCCTTTGAGAGGGACAAGAGAAAATCAAGCAGGTAATTTCTGAGCAGGTGGAAGAGAGATTAGAAGGGGGAATGGGAAAGATTATTAGATGTTGAGACAATGGCTGCAGGCGTTGACTTGCAGTTGTATATTCAGCTTCGGAAAGATAAATGGGTATCTAAAGCAAGGTTGTGTGGATTTAATTATTTAAAAAAAATAATATGTGTCAGGAAAATACAAGCTTTGCGATTTGTGTAAGTGAAGAGACAGGCCAAAGGGCTAATGTTTGTGAGTGTGTGCCATCTGCCAAGCCTGAATCTCCACGGATACAGGGAGCTTTCTCCTGGCAGTCTGTAGAGATTGTCAATCATCCAGGTTGTGGTTGTCCCAAAGGTGCTTTTCCAGGAGACAACTGGACTTCCTTGGTTTGTTTGTGGCTTTTTTGGTTTTGTTTTGGAAGATGTTTCACTTCTCATCCAAGAAGCTTCTTCAGCTCTGACAGGATAGTAGGGGTTTCTTTAGCTCTGACAGGATCCCCACTATCCTGTCACAGCTGAAGAAGCTTCTTGAGTGAGAAGCGAAACGTCTTCCAAAGGGGGGGGGGGGGAAAACCAAAAATTCCAGTTGTCTCTTGGAAAAGCAGCTTTGGGACATTGTCCTGGGACAATGGAGCGAACCTGAAGGGGTGAGAAATTTAGGCCAATCGAGGTCTCTGTGAGCAACACTCCAGTTCTGATCCTTCTCTGACAGAAAGATGACATCAAGATATACCGAAAAGAAGGATGATCCTCTCTTGTCTATGCCCATACAGAAATCTGTGAGGAACTTTTGAAGCACGTGGATCCCGAACTCTATGTCCATATTGAGAGTGTCTCCAAGGAGAAGCTGCTCTTCTGCCTCAGGTGAACATCCGTTTCCTTCCACTGGGTATAGCCAGTGGTATGATTCAATTTTTCTTTTACTATCAGTTCTGTGGGCGTGGCTTGGTGGGTGTGGCAGGGGAAGGATACTGCAAAATCCCCATTCCCTCCCCACCCCACTAACCTGCTTTCCAGCTCCATTCTCCCGTGCAGGGCAACAAAAGAAGACCCAGCCAATCAGCTGGGACTCGGGAGGCAGAGAATAGATGGGGGCGCGGCCAGTCAGAGGTGGGATTTGCCGGTTCTCTGAACTACTCAAAATTTCCGCTACCGGTTCTCCAGAACTGGTCAGAACCTGCTGGATACCACCTCTGGGTATAAGCAGGAGCTGACCAACTGCCCTCCACCTGCTTGTAGGGTAGCATTCCTCTTCCCTCCAATCTTGCATCTCTAGAAGGCATATCTACCGTTCTCATGGTTCTCTGGGACTGCCCATGCTAGCAGCATCTAAAGGTTGCAGGATGCAGAAGGTTGCAGCTATGGGTTATCAAATTCTACAGAGAAGTTGTTATCTGTAACTTGCCTAAATGCACTTAGGCGTTTCTTCTTCTTCCTCTTGTGCCATATTCGTCATCGGACGTTGGCGATCATGTTGGTCCTCCTATTTTTATCAACAACTGCACACAACAGTGCCGTTGAGTTTTCTCCAAACCAGTCCCTTAGATTTTGAAGCCATGATGTTCTTCTTCTGCCTGGACCTCGTTCGCCTTCAATCTTTCCTTGGAGGATTAAGTGAAGTATGGCGTATTTTTCTGGGTATCGCATCACATGTCCAAAATATTCAAACGGTCACTTTTTTTATGGTTTTGATGGCTTTCCCAGGAGGCTTAAAAAAATTACAATGCTGGTAATTATATTTAGAAGAAGTCCTATCCTATCTTCTAGCTTCTCCTACAATTGACCCCTTGGCTTACACACAGAAGTGTGCTTTCTCGCGCTCTCGCTCTCTTTCTTTCCCATCTTGAGTTATACAATGAGTGGAATATCCTTTGGGTCAATCCTTATCACCTGTTTAAAAAAGCTTTAAAACAAACCCTTTTAATTACAAAGAAAAAGTAATTTGTTTTTTTTAAAGACTTTTAAGCACCATGGAGATAATAAGCAGCTGTGCAGCCCAATATCTTGCTTTTTCACATGGAAGATATTAGAAAAGAAAGCGGTGGAGGGGAGGCTGTGTGTGTGTGGGGAGGGGGAGAGATGTCTCTGCTGCTTCCTGGCAAAGCAGGATGATCAAAAGGAGCGTGATTGCAGGGGGATTGGGGGGGAGGGGGGAGAGGGCTGAGTAGAAAAAGAAACTGGGTGGGGAGAAGCATCTAAAATACCAACAGTTGGGGGGTGTAAGAACCCCTAATGGGCACCTGGTCTTCTTTAATCAGGCAGAACTACTCTCAAGTTCGAAAACATTTGCTCATAGGAATGGCATATCCCAGGAACATCTGGTTTACTTCTGTATCCCCATGACATCGCTTTCATTTCATCCCCCAACCCATCCCAGCCTTTAAATTGCCCTTACTGATCCAAGAAGGGTAGTCTTCGACTTATGACGCTTTGTTCCCTTGGCCGTTCAAAGTGACAACAGCACGGACAACTGTCCTCGCCCTTGCCACGTGATCAGAATTTGGGTGCTTGGCAACCGGTTGCAGGCGTTTAGTAGTGTCCCAGGGACACGTGGTTCCTGTTTTTGACCTTCCCAGCTGGCTTCTGACAAGCACAGTCCATGGGGAAGCTGGATTTGATTAATGACTGCATGATTCCTTTAACAACTGCAAGTGATTTGCTTAATAATCAGGGCCAAAAAAAAAAAAAAAAAAGATTGTGACATTGGACTTAATAACCGCCTTGCTTAACAGTGGAAATTCTGGTTTCAATTGTGGTCATAAGTCAAGGATTACTTGTATCAAGCTGGGTTTGCAAGGTTTGCAAGGTGGCTCCTGGTCCTTTCAGCTGCAGTGGCCACAACTTCTAGCCTCTGGGCATTGTCCTGCAGGATTACTTGGCAATAGGAGAGTCTGGCCCTTCCAGATCAAAAGTTGGAAACTATCTGGCCAATTCAGTAGCTAGTCCTTTTCCTGATCATGTCTCAAAACTTTCCACCAAACTCCCAACTGATCCTGACCAGCTTCAAGGTTGACGCAGCCTTCCATCCTTCCAAGGTCGGTAAAATGAGGACCAGATTGTTGGGGTCAAGATGCTAACACTGTAAACCACTTAGAGAGGCACTATGAAGTGGTATATAAGTCTAAGGGCTATTGCTATTACTAACTGTAAGCAGGGTTGAGAGCTGACTGGGTATTGCTCACACACACACAGACACACACACACACAAAATTGGGGGGGGGGTGGAGAAAAACAGGTCAACACATAACCAACATAGAGTGTACATAGCACACTCTGCAAATGCAAAATCAAAACATCACCACCAAGAAGCAAGCCAGAGTACAGGCATCTGGGAAGAGTAGCAGACACAGCCCTGTTGTGTCGCTTTACATTTTTAGATGGTTCAGAGAAGGAAAAAAGAGTACTTTAACTAAACCAGGACCACAATTAGGTCCTAGACTTGGAAACCCTGCCCTCTCATTTCAGATTTGATGATTAAATAGTGGAAGAAGCAGTGTTTGTACATCATGAGAGACCTCTTACCTTTTCTGGAGCATAATATTCAAAATAAATGCTCAGGTCAAAACCCAGCAAGCTTTTTGCAGCAGACATAATCGGCTGAGAAAGCCTCTATCAATGACAAAGTGGGTTGGGGTTCTGGCCAAGGGAGAGGTTAGGACAGCAAGCGCTTTTTTTTGGCTTTTGCCACAGCTCTCCTGCCTCCATCTTAGGTGGCTGCTGCTGCTTTTCCAGAAGGATCTAGAACACTCAGATGCCGTGAGAGTCTTGGAAATCAGCGCTTTGGAGTCCGGAAAGATGAATTTTGGTGCCTGGATATGGCGGACACGCAGGGAAGGTGAGGACTTCTCCATGTGGAAGAGAAATCCACATCATATTCTGTTATTCTATATGAAACTGTTTCAGTAAGGAGTTGGACTCACTAGAAGACCTCCAACTCTGTTATTCTGTTATTCTCCTGTAGCTAGAGCTCCTCTGAAAGTGCCCTGATGTCTCAGTGGTTGGACTGTGGTGTTGCAGGCAAACCCTGCTCACAGCCAGGACTTCGATTCTGACGGGGCTCAAGGTTGACTTAGCCTTCCATCCTTCCTAGGTCGGTAAAATGAGGATTGTTGGGGGCAATAGGCTGAGATTGTAAACTGCTCAGAGAGTGCCGTAAAGTACTATATAATTCTTAGTGCTATTGTTAAATGCTCAGCAGCATGAGCCGAGGTCTCAGGTGATGATCCAGGAAGCCGAAAGGAAGTAAAGGTGTAGGAGCCTTTGATAGGTTAGGCTGCAAAGAGTCTAAAGGATAAACTATCGTCCTAAGCTGCAAGTGCTTATCGAAATTCATCACAGGTAGTCTTCCACTTACAACTGTCATTGAGTCCAGAATCATGGTTGTAAGTCGCGGCAGAAGTAAGTCAAGTCAAGGAATCCCTTGATTAGATTCAAAGTGTTTACTATTATGGTTGTTAAGAAAATGGCAATTGTTAAGCAAATCTATTTCCCCCAATAGATGTTTTTTTGCTGGAAACTTGAAGTAAAGTCCAGAAGCCAGCAAAAAAAAAAAAAAAAAAGGACATCATACATTGTGGTCACATAACTACAGGATGCTGCAAATGGCTATAAAAGTGAGCCAGTTGCCAAGTGCCCAGAATGCAAACACATGATTGCAGGGGTTGTGTGGCCATTGTAACTCTGAAAATGGGTAATAAGTAGCTCTGGGGAGCTCATCTTAATTTTGAATGGTCATTAGGCCATCGGTTGTTATGTAGGCATCTGTATATGTCCCTTACTTGGTCAGTGTTCTAGAACAGGTAATCCTCAACTTACCACAGTTCATTTAGTGACTGTTCAAAGTTACGGCACTGAAAAAAGTGACTTATGACCATTTTTCACACGACCGTTGCAGAATCCTAAGCTTTTGCAACCTTCTGACAAGCAAAGTCCATGGGGAAGCCAGATTCACTTAGCAGCGGTGTTACTAATTTAACAACTGCAGTGATTCACTTAACAAAAGTGGCAAGAAAAGTCATACAATGGGGCAAAATTCACTTAACAAATGTTTCACTTAGCAACATAAACTTTGGGCTCAATTGTGATCGTAACTTGAGGACTACCTGTATCATAACTATTACTGCTGCTAGTCATAGACCATTTTCCTCAACCTGGCACTTTCTGCATATCTTGAAGCTGAATGGAAAACTTGGAAATGTAATCTTAGTACATCTGGAGCTCCTGATTAGGGAGGGCTGATTTGGGACATAATTCAAACACACAGCAAAAAGAAGTGGTGGACCTTGCTTGCATGTTTTCAGATTTTAGGCGGGAGGGATCACTTTGTTAAAGACAAGAAATGAAACTTCAGCTCAAGTCGACGGATTTGAAGACAGGTTCTTTTAAACCAAGTTTATCCTTAACATTGTCTGATCTCCAAGTCGCAAAGGGCCGTTAATGTGCAAGACCATAGGCGATACTGGAATGGCACAGATGGGCCACTGTAGTTTTGGCACGAGAGAAAATGTAAGTGGGAGAACTCCCTCTCACTAGGTAAGACAAGGCAGCTAACTTACACCAGGAAGTTTGAGTATGTCATTAATAAATAGGAACTCTACTGATGAGGGGTCCTTGGTTTTCTCTGAGCTTGTTTTCTTGCAGACATTTCATTTCCCTAACAAGGTACCATCATTAGTGCTAGTCTTATTAACTGTGCTTAAAACATTTAACTATACCTTTATTTAAATGTCTGTGGAGATTCTCAGTCATCCAGCCCATGGTTGTCACAAAATTGCGTTTTCAAAAGGCAACTGGCCTTCCTTTGTTTTTCCTTGAAGATGTTTCGCTTCTCATCCAAGATGAGAAGTGAAACATCTTCAAGGGGAAAAAAGGCCAGTTTGCCTTTTGAAAAAGCGCCTCTGGGACTTTTATTTAAAAGATAGTTTGACCTTCTTTTCAGGGCATGTTAGTGACAGGCATTCTGTGATGAATATTTTTAGATTTTTGTATTTTTAGATTTTTAGATTTTTAATAGTTTTTAGATTTTTGTGTGGATAAATCAGGTACCACAAATACACATAGAAATTTTATTCCCAGCTTTGTAATCGGATTGTGTATTATGACTGATGATCCAAGGAATTGGTGATAGCTTTCACATTAAACATAACACATCATATTCTCTGTTATTTAAAAAAATACACGCTATCATTTTGATGACATTTTGATTTGCTGCCTTCAGCTAGCTACCTTGGTAAGTAAAAATTGTCTTTGAATCCATACGGGGATTAGGATGTTGGTTCCTACTAAATGTTGTTGAACTTTTGCTTTAGCTCCAGAAGCAGATGGAATGTTGCTGGTTTCCTCAAAAACAGTGTAACCAAGAAAAGATAAACCCTGATCTCACTTTCCCCCCACTTGGGTTACCAACATCTCCCATGATTGCTACCACACCTCTCCCTTCCAGATATCTTCCAAAACTGATCTTAGATCCGGCCCAGTTCAAGAGAAGGTCTTTTCAAACACATCCTGTTCTCTTCTCATAGGTGTGGAAGCACCAGCTCCTATCACGTCCGTGGATCGGGATGAAATCACGTTTGAAGTGTTACTTTGCACTGCAGTCCTAATCCAGAACCGGAAGCAGCTGCTTCAATACCAGGATGTCAATGACTTTTTCCTATTCACACAAAGGTAGGCAAGCGGGCAGGTTTCCCCCACAGCGGATTCCACTTCCTTTAATCAAATTAAAGTTCAGGACCTTTAACGTGCGAAAGGAACGCATTCTGGGAAGACGTGTAATGCAGAAATCCAATCATCACTGGGCCCTTTTGATGGTGTTTGCAGGAAGTTCAGAGTTACCCCATGCACATTGTGTCAATCACCTGTGCAACAGTCCTTTAAATAAGGCCAATATTACATCCTTCACGCAGACATATCACATTCCAGGAAAAGGGCTCAGGCCAGCTTTAGCGGCTTCCTCGAGCTATCAGACAAAGTGGTTGTGGTTAGTATAAATGGGCAGGTGTCTCAGGATGCAGGAAGTCCACTTCAAACCATTTCCAGTTAAAACCAAATGAGCAGACTATGGCCTTGAGCCCTTTGTTTATGTGTGCCTCCCCTCTTATCAGTTACTGCTTGAAAATGAACCAAGTGGTTTCCTGCCATTAGGCAGAAAGAGGCATAACCTGTAAGATACTCCCCAAATAAAGGCACCTCTTAAAAGCCAGGTGCTGTTGTGTAACTGCCCAAGGCAAATCATCTTCACACCAGATCCCATCAGCTGGCAAAACGCTTCCATAATAACCCATAACCCTTCTCAGATCTGATCATCTCCTTCCTTCTTTACCTGTGGAGCAGCACAACTGGAATATATTCAAGGAAGAGGGGGCAGATGACCAGACTGTGGAAATGAGCTGTTCTCTCTCTTTGGGTGCGACATATAAAGCTCAGTAATGGCCGACAAAGGGAAGTGATGTTTGATGTCACTTAGATATCCTGCTTTGGGATCTGATGGCCCTTCACCTTGTAAGAGCTTGGCTGGCACTTAGTTTAGGGCCCGCTTCCAAATAAATCCAGCCACAGGTAAACACAGAAGCCTAGCTAGATGGATCCAGCAATAACAACACGGTTCCCAGCAAGGGATGGGATGCAGAGTTTTCCTCCCCTGTGACTAATGTTGTTTCAATGTTGTCACAGGATGCAAGGCAGACTTCAGCTGAACATGCTGCATGGGGATGAGCGGCCATGAACATCATGTGCCAGAAAAGCTGGGCGCTATTCTAGATGTGAAGAACATCCCAGTAGGGGGGGGAGAAATGGGCTTGAGCCCCCTCTGCTGGACGAAACGAGATAACAGCTTCTTGAGAACTACTTCCAATGAAGTTATAAAAACGTAACAAGTTAATATTTTGTCCAGGCCTCTTAATAAGTGAATGAGGAACTTCAGACATTCTTTCACATAAAATCTGTATCTGACTGCACTGTTGGCCCAATTTTTATTTGAGGAATCTCACAGAATTTTCAGCATCTTCTTCAATGAAATGCAGATACCAGGCTGCCTCACAAAAAAATGCAAGTTACTTAGTTGTGTTGATCTTCAGAATACAGCTGGAAGGGATCTTGGAGGTCTTCTAGTCCAACCCCCTGCTCAAGCAGGAGACCCTGTACCATTCTGGATAAATGGCTGTCCAATATCTTCTTAGAAACCTCCAGTGGTGGAGCATTCACCGCTTCTGGAGGCCAGCTGTTCCACTGGTTAATTGTTTTCACTGTTAGGAAATTTCTCCTTAATTCTAGATTGCTTCTCTCCTTGATTAGTTTCCATCCATGGTTTCTTGTCCTGCCTTCTGGTGCTTTGGGAAATAAATTGACCCTCTCTTCTTTGTGGTGGTCCCTCAAAAACTAGAATACTATCATGTCATCCCAACCCAGATTATTAGATGCTCAGAAACATCTGAGGGAAGGGGTTGTTTATGCTTGTTGGAGGAAGGTGTAGTATACCAAAACTAGGATGTAGTCAGTTTACTTAGTATTGTGTCATAAATGTGCCCTTACTTGCAAGAAAGATTTGCTTGTCTATTAGCTACAAAGGGAAAAAATACTTCTGGATCTGATAGACAACCAAGTTCAGGGATAAAAATAGAAATAAAAACAGGAGGTTTGGGACCAAATTAGATTAATGTGCCAGGAGGTCTGAGATTAGATTATTTTACCATTTAAAAATGTCCCTCCTAAACAGACAATTATTAAAAATGAAAAAACATACATCAAATTCATTGACATTCTCCAATTCTGCCATGCTGGTATTAGTCCATAATTCAGCAATTCAATGTTTTAAACTGAGTTTGATACACCTTAATATTTGTGGCAGATGACAAATAAAAAATACCAGGAGCTTCAGCTTTTCAAGTATCATGTACCACAGCATCTCCTCTATCAAGTATCATCAATTGAAAAAAAAAATCCAACTACAGGGTTTAAAATAATTACACGCCTCAAGTGTTTGCTGAATGAGCAGGATAGAGATACAATCGGCAAGAATGAACTGCATTTGTTAGGAGCACATTTCCTATGTTTTAGGTGCCTTTTCTTACAAATGTCTAACTATCCTGAAGTGACAATGCCCCAGGGGTAAGCAGCCTGTTGCTTATATGCCTGAGGACTCCTTCCTTCCAGGTTTCCTGTCCCTCCTGAATCTTCTAAAAGATGCTTTTCATTTTTTTTTTAAAAAAAAGTTCGACGCTGAAAAACATTTGTCTTCGGCATTAATTTTATTTCTAAGAATGGCTGTAAATCTCACGTCCGAGTCAGGCATGCTTAGCAAATAACAGTGTTGAATGTGTGGAATCCGGTGCTTTGCTGGAAAATGTCTTGTGAGGGGTGGGGGGAATTGAGGTGGGGGAGGGAAAGAGGGTAAGATAATAGAGAGGGGAGGGGTGGAAGGCACAATAGAGAGCAACTTCATCTGCTAAAAGGTGATTCTGAAACTCTCCACAGTGTGGGAGCCACTGTAGTGGTTAAGGCACCAGGAGGACTGAGAGTTCTAATCCTGCCTTGCTGGGTGACTTTGGGCTAGTCATTCTCTCTCAGGCTCAGCCCTAAGAAGGAGGCAAGGGTAAGCCACTTCTGGAAAAAAAAACTTGTCACGAAAACTGCAGGGTCAGTCAGTCACCAGGAGTCAATACGCTAACTTAAACTGTAGACACACACAAAACAGTGACTTATTGAAAGCATCCCCAAATTCCAAAATGGCAGCTATTCCCCCCCACCACAGATTGCCCACCCTTCCATTACTTTATCCAGTGGCTATTGCAAGATTCTTTTTTTCCTTTAAAAGTATTCTATTAAAAAGCGGGACTGTGTTCATCTCTTCCTTGAGATTAAACGAACTTTTCTGTTTTGTGAGACAAAAAAATAGAAAACCTTGCCTACAGCGAGGGACGGGCGGGCAAAATATGTTGAAAAAACAAGGTAGTTATGTAAAAATGATTGGGAAGATTTACCTTGTAGCGTCCATTTTAGACTGAAAAAAATTCACATAAAAAACAGAGAACCTAACGATTCATTGATACTGACACATGGGAAGCCACGGAAGGTTCTTGATCTATTTTCAACGTGTCCTTCAACAACAAGACCGCCACATTATCTTGGTCATATAAAGTTACGACCATCATTAGGCCCAAAATTTGAGGGCAGCTGTTCATTGAGTTTTGCCCCATTTTATGACTTTTGCCACAGTTGTTAAGTGAATCTGGTTCCCCCGTTGACTTTGCTTGCCGGGATGTCACAAAAGGGGACACTGCAACCGTCATAAATATGAGACAGTTGCCAAGCATCTGAACTCTGGTCACGTGACGATGGGGATGCTGCAATGGTTGTGTGGAAAATGGTCACAAGTCGTCTTTTTTCAGTGCCGTTATAACTTCGAATGGTCACTCAAGTGAACTATTGTTAAGCCAAGGAGTGCCAGTCTAGGCAAGTCCGTTTCAGATGGATTGCTCCTACCGCTCCATCAAAAAGCTTTCCAGTTGTGGAATGCGTGTCTAAATTTTTTTTTCCCCCTCTCCCTTTCTTTGCACCTCTGATATTTTTCCATGCTGCTTCCATTATCTACATTGAAACCCATTTCCTGCAGAATGAAAACGGGTGCGATTTAGTGAATCGCCATGATAGATTATGAAAAACTAAAAGAAGTTTGGAGAAAAGGAAATGGAGTCTTGAGCCCACAAAGCTGAAAAATGTGCTGGTGTTAAAAAACTCCGGTCCCCCAGTTTAAGGGTTATCTGGCCTGGGAGTCAAAAAGATACAAATGCCTAGAATTCTGGGTTGTTGTTTTTTCCAGAGAGGCTGGCTGGAGATGAAAGGAACTGTTTTTTAATACCTCTAAAAGGCATTAGGGTGGGGAAAGGCCAGAGCACACACATAATAGTATTAGCACTTATATACCGCTTCACAGAGCTGGTATTCAGCAGGTTCTGACCTGTTCTGGAGAACCAGTAGTAGAAATTTTGAGTAGTTCGGAGAACCGGCAAATACCACCTCTGACTGGCCCCACCCCCATCTATTCTCTGCCTCCCGAGTCCCAGCTGATCGGCTGGGTCTTCTTTTGTTGCCCTGCACAGGAGAACAGAGCTGGAAAGCAGGTTAGTGGGATGGGGAGGGAATGGGGATTTTGCAGGTTTGGGGACCTCTGGTATAACCTATATTATTCAGGAATGTTTACACATTATATAAAATGTATCAACAAAACACAGGTATTTAGAAATACTTAATCCTTAACATTTCTGACATTCAAAAAATAACAACTCAAAATCTGATAAGCTGCTCCTTGACTGTACCACTTCAAATTGCAGGTCAGAGTTTCCATGCCTGAATAGTCTCTTCACATTAATTAGCTACATAAATCGAATGAATGAATGAAATTAATGGACACACCCATGTCCGTTTATTAATGAAGAGAGTCTTCCCTATCTGCAGCCACAGGAAAACTCACACTTGCAGCCTTAAATAGTCTAGACTAGAAATGTTTTTTTTTTCCCAATAGTAGTTTTATTAAAAATTATAATAACAAATGAGAAAATTAATGAAAACTAAAAAAAAGAGAATAAAAACAGTGCAGAAGACAATGCAGAAAAGAAAAATATGAATTTAATAAAGAAAAAGAAAAGAAATACACGACTTTCCCCTTCATCACAAGTATAAACAATTTTAACAACTTATCTTGTCTTAAAATGCAACAGCTATGGCTGGCCAGGGAATTCTGGGAGTTTAAGTCCACAAGTCTTAAAGTTGCCAAGTTTGGAGATCCCTGACTTGAACTCATATGTATTTATTACATTTATATGCCACTCATCTCATCCAAAGCAACTCAAACTGTAAAGCTTCTTCTGCTAAGGATTGAAGGAAATCCATGTGTTTTCAAAATAATTGATCCAAGGATTTCTAATAGTCGAAAAGCAGTTAAGAAGTAATTGTTGAAAGTGATTAGAAAATAAAATATGAGAACTCAATATCCTTAAAGGTGCAGTGGTTTGCACAAGACGTCTATTTCCTCATCTCCCAGAGCTCTAAACCTTGTAGAGACCACCATCTTGCAGTCTCTTCGCAAGGAACAACTGTCTGGAGCACTTGTGAGCAATCTCAAGACCTCTGCTTGCCAGAGAGAGGAATTACAAAGAGGCATCTACTTGCTGGCTCTTTGTTTCACTGCTGTTATATTCTGTTGTGGTTATTTTCCTGATCTGTCAAGTTAGGAGCCTGAATAGCCTTAGGAACTGGGTAAAACCTTTTCTCTTGGGGCTGCCATTCAAGATTGAATTGATTTTGGCCTCTGATGATTAGATCTGTGTGTGTGTGTGTGTGTGTGAAAGAGAGAGAGAGAGAGAGAGAGAGAGAGAGAGAGAGAGAGAGAGAGAGATCACGCATCATCACAAAATCTCCAGAACTGTAAAGCCTACAAACTTGAAATTTGGCATACTCTTGGCTTCTAGGTGCTTACTAAGGAAGGATTTTTCAAAATGACCATCAGAACATTCGTATTTTGTATAATATTAACACACTCTGATGCTAAGGAGTTCTACTCCCGCTCCCCACCTGAAAAAAAAATCTGTTCCAAATGCAAAATAGAAGCAGAGGAGAAGAGTTTCAGTTTTAGTTTTAGTTTCATAGCACCAAGCAGCTTTAGTACAGAACAGTTGAGCTAAGCCATGCCCAGGCTCCTTGCTGTCTCCTTCTTGCTCACACAGCAAA